ATTTTATTAAAAATGGGTAAAATTGTAACAAAAATAAGATTATCAATTAATCTTAAAATACTTAAGAAAATTGAGGTAATCAAATTACTTCCTATATTACCAACAATAACGACTATTAGTTTTAAAAAAAAAAAACTAGAATCTTATATTACTTGACAACTAAACATGATAATAAAGTAATATAAGATGATATTATCTCAGTGATCCTCTATTACTCCCAACCGAACACACCCTTCAAGTAATTTGGGTGAGAATCATATCCCATATTAAATTATCCATTGTGATATATATATATTTATATATTAAGAGGCTTAATTAAGAGTTGTCATTACTAGCTTTGTTGAGTATCGGCCTATTTTTGTATTTAATAAATATTAATTCACAATCTAATGTTACAAATTTTTTTTCACAATACCAATGTACCAGTTCGTAATTAGATAAGTGTGACTCATAGTGAGAGGAATATATTTGTGAGTTAACCAATTGATGTCATATTAGAATTGCGGGGAGAAAGTTTTAGAGATTGGATTGTAAGTGCTCTACTACCCTTCCGTATTTGTACGGTGAGTTATACAGTCTTGAGATGGATGATGTATGAGACTCTATTCCTAAATCCTAATTCCTGATTATAAAGCTGTGCAGTCAATTGAAGAGCAGCTTCTATTCGTGCATAGCTTTTTGTAGCATAGCAGTGTAAAGTTTTTTCATTCACACGCTGTAAATGCCACCATCACTCCTCCGAAGACCCAAAGCACACGTTTAGCACAAATCCATTTCTTCTAAAGCCGTGAAATCAGTTTTTGAACTTCTTTCTTGTTGCTCTGTAGCCCGCTTTTTTGCCTGTTGCCACCGTTTCAATGTCGTGACGCTCAGGTTTTTTTACTTTTTAGCATTACCAGATCTATTTGAGTTTTTTTAAAGCCCATTATGATTCGCATTCTTTATTTTCAGTTACATAGGATCCGATGAGCAGATAACAGCTGTGTGTACTTTGTAGATATTTTGATAAAAACTGAGCTCTCTAATTGTACTTCTCCTTGGATTAGATTGGATCACTTAAAAATGGAGGGATCTGAAGATACCCATTTGCAAGATCTTGAGTTAGAATCATCTAATCATGGTAACGATGTCAGTGATCCCCATTTTCATGCCACGAGCGCTTTAGAGATATTGAGAGAAACTGTTAGGATTCTCCGGTTTAATTGTTCGGCTTTTATGCTTATTGCTGCGCTGTTAATTTGCCCAGTTTCAGCGCTTCTTTTATCAAAAGTGTTAGTTGATCGGAGCATTGTGAAGAAACTTACTGTTAGGCTCTTGTTGGTAGCTAAAGCTAGCGGTCTCCAACTGAGGCCTTTTATCAAACAGTTGAGTCATAACATCTCTGAAATGGCTGTTTCCTCCACAATGTGCTTTCCTATGTTTATTACACTGTCCTTGTTGTCAAAAGTTGTTGTTGCTTATTCTGTAGATTGTACTTATTCAAAGAAACAGGTCGACTTTTCTAAGTTTTTTGGTGTAATTCGCAAAATTTGGAGGCGGCCTGTGGAAACGTATTTGTGGGTGTGTATGGTGATTTCAGGTTGCCTCACGACATTCTTTGTGCTTCTTGTTGCTGTGTGTAGTTCACTTTCTGTTGTTGGCTTTGCACCTTTAGTTGGGTATGCGGCAATAATTGTGGGGTTGGTGTTTTCAGTCGTTTTTGCAATTGCTATTATCATTTGTAATACTGGAATTGTTATCTGTGTGTTGGAGGATGTTTCAGGGGCACAGGCATTGCTTAGGTCAGGGTATTTGATTAAGGGCCAGACTCAGGTGGGTCTGGTGATATTTTTAGGATCAACGATTGGGATGGCGTTTATTGAGTGGTTATTTGATCATAGGGTGACGACCCTGAGCTATGGAGATGGATCTTCAAGGTTATGGGAAGGGCCTCTTTTGGTGATGATGTATTCATTTGTGGTGCTTATTGATTCCATGACGAATGCAGTTTTCTACTTCAGTTGCAAGTATTATAGAACAGAAGCCTCCAGTGCTGAATGTCAGTCAATTTTAGAAACTGAAGCCATTTCAGATGAACCAACAGGTAACAAATGATGACATCTTGCAGTTTGGTGCTTTGTTTTGTTATCCATGGAACTTTCTTCTCAGCTAAAATATGGAGATGGGAAATTTGATGAGGCATTGCTGACTTATTTGTCTGTCATGATTCATTTCGATGAGGAGTCGTGTCTAATAAATTGGTAGACCTTAGCATACAAGGTTTTGTGGAAGGTGATATGCTTATTACTTTCAACTCCGTCGTCTACTTCATTTAAGGGCTGTAGTTGATTTTCCATCAATTTGCAAGGGGATAGAATGAAAAGGCATATGGAGTTGAAATGTTGAATAATTCCAAAATTAAGGGAAAATGCAGGATTACCTGATGGAAAATTTCTGGAAATTATAGATTTTTCTAGTCGTTGTAGTTTCTAGTGGCTTCTTGTGAAATATTCATATCCTATTACTATTTCCAGATATATAGAGTTATTTCCAATTGTTACAACTTTATTTGTTAGCTTGCTGTTGTTTAAGAAATTAATAACATGGTAAAAAATTTAGCTTTGGATGATAACTGGTATTAGGAATGATCAATGAACTTGTGAATTCCTCAAAAAGTAGAGCATACGAATCAGGAATTTCTTTGTTATGCATTGCAAAAATCTGTTCGTTGCAAGGAGCATGTGAATGCCATAAAACAATATTAGATAGAACAAATCCATGATTTATTTCAAAGATTTTTCATTTCTGTTTCATGTTTCTAAATTGTTTGAAAGGATCGTGATTTTCTGTATTGTTTTAAAGTGCACTGCATTATAGTTTGTCATTCACATTCATTCAGGAGTTGCTTTTTCTGCAGCTTCAAATATTTTGATGCCTTTCTACCGCTGAATGATTATGGAGTTCAATTACATTATAAAGAAAGCATATGGATTAGCATGTGAAAAAATCAGGGCTGTATACGCAGAACTTGCAAAATAAAGATGTGTATGTAGATATTTGTCACTGGAACTTTCATTATTTTGTTTAATACAAAATATTTTCCTTCATTGGTCAATGTTGGTCAAGGATTTGTGTCAACCGTTAATTGTAGCTGAGCAGATTTGCAGAAGTCCGTTGGACATGCCATTTTGATTGTCTATTGAGAGTGAGACATCCCATGTTCAAACTGGATCGTGATGCCCTTCGATCTACCGCTAATAAATTTAAGGAGTTAAATTACTTTATTATCCAAATTTATATTCCAGCAGCGAACAGAGAGCAAACTTGATCCAGGACTATTAGAGCTGTTGAGGCATTGTTGTAATCTCACACTACCACCATTCTCTTTCTTGATCATCATTAATCAAAACCCCTAAAACCTTACTACCATCGACTTCGCCAATCGTTGAAAATCGAACGATTAGGATTTATGCAACCACTCCTTCAAAATCAAATTTCAATTAATCTTAACCGTCAAAATTCAATCTTCCATCACCAAAAGACTCATTGGTCTTCCCTATTCAAAAGCCCCAATAGCTTAGATTGAATTTACTCTCTGTTCGTCATTGGAATATTAATTTAGATAATAAAGTGATATTTTAAAAATCTGTGGGAGAAAAGTGTTATTAAACCATCATTTGGGTTGCAAAAGGTCATTGACTCTAAATTTTAGGTGGAAATTGGTAAAAACAAATAACTCCCAAGTAGGGATAAAATCTTTTTGATCCTTTTAACGTTTTCAAAAACTTATAAATGGCAAAAATCCCACGTTAACGGAAGTTGGATGAAATGAAACGGATGAAGGGTCTATCCGTCAATAGCTAACTTTTTCCATCTCAAAACGGAATGGATTCCTTTCTAATGCAGATAGAATGCCCCTTTTTTTTTTTTTTTTTTTTTTTTTGGTTGAAAGCAAAGATTTAATCTTATTTTTAATTATGTCTGTAAATCATAAAATATTGATATTTAGATTTTTTTCCCATTGAGATGTATTGATCTTAGATTGATTTTTTTGTGGGAACTAAAAATAAATAAATTGTTTTAGAACTATTTTTCCTATATTTCAATAGAGACATCTTCAATTTCTTTCGTTAGATGATTTCATGATTGACTTCATCTTCAATGAAGACATTTATGTTCTTTGTTTTGTTGGATCTCCACAAAACTTTGATCACCCACAACTTCTAAGACTTCGATGAATCTTCAACACTTCCTTTGGAGACAACTTCCAAGGCTTCGATTTAATCTTCAACACCTCATTTGGAGGCAACTTTTAGGATTTCAATTGAATCTTCAACACCTTTTTTTTTTGTAGGTTTTCATCATAATGTTCCCATGAATTCTTTGATGTTTTTGTGTGTGCAATTCTCTAAAAACCAACCCCATCTATATTGGTATTGAAATTCAAATCTTTTTACTTGGCATTTGTCAAACTATCATTTTGCTCGTGTTAATTTTGCTTGATCTATTGGTACTAAAAATCCCTTATCTAGAACCTTCCAGAAGTCTTCATATTCCAAAAAGAGTAGCATCTCAACTCTCCAAAACCAAATTTTTTTTTCCATCAAATTATGGAATTTCTAAAGAATCTTTCAAAATCCATATGTCGAACAGGCTTTGATAGTTGATACTAAAGATATGAAAATTAAAAATATTAAAATATCAATAACACGATACCAACTCAAGTTAACATAAGATGATCTTTTCATGGGCGATTTCCTTTGTTCTTATCTTTAAGCAGCCTTGAAAATTTAAAGGAAAAAACAGTGAAACTCATTTTTAATATTTTTTCATTTTAATTCCATGAATGACTTGTCTGTTTGGGGAAAAATAAGAAGGAAAAAAAAAATTGACCGAGAAAAGAAAAATAATTTCATTTTATTGTTTTATATGTCCCCAAACGGCTGTTAACGTGCAGGATGTTTTTGCTAGTATTTTAACTTGTTGTCCTTCATTGTTATTGAACGAATAACTAAAGGAGAAAAAAAAACATATGTGTACTTGCGGCATCCATTATAACTTTCTGCTCCACGAACGGCCTGTTTTGGGGTTAACAAGAACGTCATTGGTAAGAAAGGTGAACTAACTTAACATTTAATCATCCATTGAATTTTCAACTAAACACAGAGATAGCAGAGTGTTAAATTGGAATGACTAAGGGGGATTTTTTTGAAGTAGTTTCCGTTTATTTTGTGTTCTGTTATTGTCGTTCTGGTCATGTCCTGTTAACTGTTTGATGAAATGCCTATATGGAATGTTTTGTTTTCTGTAATCCCTGATAAGCTGTTGTATTTTCTGGGAACATTTAGTATTAGTGAGAAACACAGATACTGTGTATTTTTTTTTTTATATATTTCATTACTGTATTTGAAAGCAATTTAGAACATCTAGTTTTTCTTATGTATTGAAGTAAGATTGACTGGTAATAAAACATCGTGCACTTGTTTATGAATGAACTGCTTGCTCTTTGCATTTGACACGAACGTAACTTGCTATACAGTATGTTTTTAAATCATGTTGTATTGCATTTGTATCTCAATCTTTGAATTCTTGATGTTGGGTCAAGCTTAACTTCATAGTTGATATTGCTTTAGCAGGACTAAAATGGATAGCTATCGCCAGGAGAAAATACAGAAATTTGAGGAATTTGTTGATCGCCGATTGAAACCTGACCTTGTTCGTGCTATTGGTGAACGGTGTGTTTTCCCTTACAGGATTGTTTAAATTCAGTCTTTCAACAGGATTTAAAATTTAGAATGTCTTTAAAATAATAATAATAATAATAATAATAATAATAATAATAATAATAATGCAAATTGAAGACACTGATATAAGATATTTTTTGGCCCAAGTCTGTTTCTGGTGTTTGTATTTGAAATTAGTTGTTGTGAATAAATACAAATGTTAATATTAATAATGCTTATTTAGTATGTTTATCATCTAGTATCATTAGATGTTGATGTATTGATCTGTGATATGCTCTTTAGTAGGATCTTGCGGATTAAATGTGTAATTGCTGTTACTCATACACTGTATGATTACTTTGTCCTCTAATGTTTCGGTGTTAGCAATTAGGTGGGACTTTGTATTTGAAGAAAAATAGTTGGACTTTAGGCTCTTCTTGAAATCATGAAGTAAGTTTTATTAGAAGTTTATTGTAATATTTGACTTTCTTTGAGAAGTTTTGTCAAAATTTATAACCGTTTCTGCATCTAAATTACTAAAGCAGCCGCAAAGTTTCTGGATATCTAGTTGAGAATATATGCAAAGTGCTTTATTGTTTTCTGGAGTTGAAACTTACAAGTGGAAAATGCTGTTACATTTTAAGCAATGTGATATGCTAATTTCATTGTTTGTTGTTTTACTTTGCAGGGACAAGGTCTTTGAACAACAAAAGATTTTGTATCCTTTTTGTTTTTCATGTTTGTTCACAGAGATAGATTGGTTCTCCTTTCCTTTCTAAATGATTCCATGGATCACTTTAGAATTTTTTTTTTTTTTTAANATTATTTATATTGTGTATTATAGTCAGATTGGAGAAGTCAATTTTCTGTTTTATTTATGATTATTGTTATTGAATTGGACTAATATTGAATTAGAGTTTATAGTTGGCTATAGAAGTTTCTTGTAAATGTTTTTTCTTTTTTTTTTTTAATCCAGTCAAAATATTTTCACAGTAATTAGTTGTTTTAAGGCTTCATATGGATCTTGGAGGAGAAAAAAAAAAAGAAAGAAAAACTGTGGTTGCTTTCATGACTCTTAATAATGGTTCACTAAGCCTTTTCAATTATTTTTGTTGTGTTGTATGTAAATTAATTTTCTTAAAAGCAACCAATGATACAGAGTTCAAAGGACAGTACTGGACACAATCTATTTCAAGGATTTTCCCTTTCCTTGAACTTACCAATTTGCTGATCCTTTTCATCTGCTTTTACTTGACACTATATGTGTATAGCTCAGATTTGCGAAGGAACATTGAGAATTTTGAGAAAAATAGTGTAACAAGTCTTAGGACATTGGTCAATCTTGGCTCTGAAGTGTACATGCAAGCTGATGTGTAAGTTTTTGAATCTTTGCACTACTACAAATGTGATGCTAAATGCATGGCTATGTTAGATTTCTTCCATTCTATTTTCTCCCCATTTGCTTATGAACTTCTATAAGATCATACTATATTTTGTTTGTTTTTTCTGTTCATAATCTTTTAGTTCCTAGTGGAGCAATAGTTTTCCTGCTTTCAGATGGCTAATTGTCAGCATCATGAAAAATAGTTAAAATTTAAGTGTTTGTTTGTAAGTTTTAGGCATATCTCCAATATTCTGCAGTTGTAGGTTGGATATCCGCATCTATGAATTGAAGGTTCTGTATGATTACCTCAAAAATAAGTTGTTAGGATCAATAGGCTGTTGTACTTCATATGCAGAGGTTTGTGAGTGGTCAATATGCAACTTAAGATTTGCATTGGAGTTAACTTACCATCTTCCTGTTTCATTTTCTTCTTTTTCTTTGTTGGGATGGGGGGTTGTTGGGAATCTTTCCTTGTTTGCAGGCCAGATACTCAGCATATATTTGTAGATGTTGGACTTGGATTCCACGTGGAGTTCACCTGGTCTGAAGCTTTAAATTACATATCACAGAGGGAAGAAAAATTATCCAGGTACTAGACTTTTTTATTTTTTATTTTGTATTGTGTAGACCCTATTAGCCTGCTGGATGAGTCAAGACCTAAATTACGACAAAATGATAACCTGGTTGTGGAGCAGAAACAACAAATGAAACTGACAGAATGCCCTGGTCTTGGAGTTGCTTCCTGAGTTTCAGATATGTCAAGTCTATAGTTGCTTCTGTTTTTGGTCATCACAATTCATTTTGCAGAGATGATAGTCAGTGCTTAATTTATATCATGACAACACTCTTTGTCTCATCCGTTTTGACATATAGTTGGTTTCTTTTTCTTCCTTGATAAACTCCATTCAAACATAATGCATTACTGAATTGCACTTCTGCAGGCAAGTGGAGGAGTATACTCGACTAATTGCATCAATTAAAGCCCAGATCAAAATGGTATGTTTTCTTGTAATGTTGGCTTCTCTTTTCCTTCTTCATTTTGGCCTTTCTGGCATATGAAGTTCAATGCCTGCTTATGGCTGGTCAAGTTGTATTTTAAAGGTACAAGTTTGATATATAAATAAAATGTAATGTGCTTTGATCCAAGATAGATAATCTTCAAGGCAAGATTGGGTTAGATTTAACTGCAAATGGAAGGGTTGAAATTTGAATTTTGAGTTCAGTCTATTTAAAAAATAGGGAATTTGCAGTTCAGGTTCTTTATGATGAGCATATGTTATGGCATTCCTTAACTACTTGTGTATGATTTCAAAATATATTATTCATTTTAAAGTTTAGTTAGTAATGGAATTGTTTTGGGGTCCTGTGGCTGGAAAGAAATAAGAGAATATTTGAAGTTATAAGTGGGAAAGATGTTTCTTCTTTGTGGATAAAGTTTTGTTTCTCATTGTGTCTATTACTTTCGAGTATTGAGAAGGTTCTTTCTTTTGTATTTAACACAATTGGGAAGCTTTGATACCTAGTGAGGGAAAGTTTTTGGTGTAGATTTTTGTTCACGGAATTTGGCAGTTTATAGATTGAGAGTTATGTTGTAAATCTTGTATGGTTTTTGGAGCCTTATTTTGGTTTCTTGGAAGTATTTTTCTATATTTGCTAACTTTGTTGTTTTAATATGGTTCGTTTCCTAGCAAAAAAAAAATGTCATGAACAATTGTATCTTCTTTTCTCCATTTGGTTTGCATCTGATAATTATCTTCATAATGGGGTTCAGGTTTGTGAAGGGATTCGTGAGTTACTCCATCTGCCGGCCGAGAGAAGTGTACACGAGCCTGTTTTTTAGGATATGTAGGACTTGAAATGTATATGTATGTTATTTTACTGTCCTGGATCACTTGCACTTTAAAGATGAAAGAAAAGCATGGAACCGAAACAGGAGTTTTTTTTTGTTGATGCAAAGGATTAAATTTTCTGTCTTACAATTTGTCCTTTCATTTTGTAACTAGGATGAAAGTGAAATTGCTAAAGTGGTAAGAACATGTATCGTGGGAAGGATTACTTGGATCAAAGGTTGTCCTATGTTGCCCCTTTTAAGTTTTCTTGATGTACAATATATTTACAACTTAATCTCACAAACTTTCTCACAGTCTCTAAGTTGCAGTGTCTAGTTTTTTGTTGATGAATTTTTCAAAATTCAAACTTCAAAATTTATCATTAAAAAATTAGGAACTACCACGTAGTGGTTGTGAGAGAGGGTTTGTAAGATTGAGTTATAAGTTAATCCTTATTGTTTCTTGATGCTTGAAGTTGTGGAGTTAGGCTTTTGTTTACTCACTGGTAGCCCTCTTCATCCTGCGGCAAAGAGAAAATGGGCTGAAGTAATTAGTCTAGTTCGCCATGGCTGGGCTTTGAAACAAACCTTACACATTCTCTGAAAGAGGTGCTGCCTGTTATTTGGTTTTTCAAGTGTTGGGTTTCAGCAACAGCAGTAGTCAAGTGTTTGGTTAACTTAGGTTCCGATAGACATCAGTTCCTTTATTATGTATCAGAATCATTCATTTATTTATTTATTAAAGCCCTCCCAGTAGTTGAGTAAAAAACCTTAGAAAATAAAATGAACAGAGGAAGGCATTATTTAAATTTGATGTTAACGCAAAGTAGGAGTAGGCATTGATATTGATTCCACCTGAAAGTAAAGTCTAATCTGGAGGCAACAACAAGTTGATTCCTTGAGAGAAAAGTCACCTCACTGCTGTGAGTGGTGTGATTGGACAGCTCATCAATCCATACATCTCATCCGACTGTCTAAATTACAACACCGTTAGGGATGACAGCATCCAATCCAACCGTTGGATTAATGTTTGATATGACGTTGATTGTGACGTTATTGTATTACGAGCATTATACTAGAGTAGAGTATAGCTTTACCGACACAAGGAATCTCCCAATCTCACCAATTATTTTTTGCCTTGATAATCGTGGGAAATATGCATTTGATATTTATGTCTAGGGTCTTGTGGGATCACCAGATATTTTTGTAATTTCAATTGACCCCCTGATGATTTCAAAAATAAAAGTGAACCCCCATTTTGACTAATTATTTGATAAACTTATTCAAAATAAATAACTGTTAAAACTTTAGACTAGAGGCGGCGATTTTTGGCATGACATGGTTATGCATAGTTTAAGCGAGTTATCGTTGATCTTAATCATGTTTGTGTCGGAATTGCATTAAACAACTCAACTTTTTTTTATCAATCTTGTCGTGTTCAGATTGAAGAATGAACCTATTTATTGACAAAATTATTCGCTTATGACATGGTTAATAAATGGGTTAAATAAATGAATTAAACGTATCATAGACTAGTTAAATGAAAACATATCCTGAATAAATAAAATGAGCTAAATGTGTATAAATGGGTTAATTAGGTTAAGTTGTATTACGACACAGTTAAGTGTGTCATATTCACATTGCTTGTTTAATAATCATGTTGTATCTTATTAAAAAATTTTATACCAATAATTAAATGAATCGTATCGAAAATTCATATAACACGACGTAAATCTAACACGTAATATCGACATATCAACCTTTTTTACTACCTCTAACCTTTACTATAACATGAAATGGAATCCGTAAACAAAGAAAATCAATATACAAACTAAACTTGTTTTCCTTTTTAATTTCTTGGAGCCATCATTTTCTCACTAACCAAATAAAATATAACACAAAATTTTTCACTTTTATCTCATTAATGAATAATACCATAAATGAATCAGAATGCCAAAACACACTAAAATCCATCACCATAGTAAGATCAAATTATGGTGGCTTCACAAGTTGTAAATTTAAAACCATTAAGCAATCATACATACATATTTTGTACAATTTGACCATACTAGACGATGATATATTAATTTACATGACTTATTAAAATATTGCATTTTAGATATATAATTTATCACTTATTTAGTTTTCATAACTTAATTAAAATTATATCAAAAATAATGAAAATAAACACGGAAGTGATGAAGGTGAAGCCAGCTAATTAAGGAGCATGACTCAAAAGTAGGGGTGTTAGCTCGACTCGGCTCGGTAAAAGCTTGAGTTTGAGCTCGACAAACTTAATTGGAAAAATATAAAAATTGAGAATTTTTTTGTGCTCGAATTGGAAACTCAAAGTCAATACTGTAGCAGGTCTTTCCGTGAGGAAAGAAGAATCAAACAAGATGATGGGCGCCACGTAAGAAAGAGGTCCCTACGTCCTGTCAAAACCCACGTTTATTTCTCAGACTTGGTGTCTTGTCTTGTGGCTGTAATTCCTGTGAACGTGTACGAGTTGAAAGTGTTTCTGATATATTCAGAAAATGAGAGAAAGAGAAAACATAAACATAAACATAAACATATTATTATATTATATGAATGGATTGGATTGGCAATGAGAGAGAAAAGAAAAAAATCAAAGACCAAGAGACAAAAGGTAAAGTCGAAAGTCACATTTTCAGTCCCTTTACTTCAAACCCCGTCTTTTCTTGGCTCTTGTTTTGTTTGTTTCTATCTTTGCTGCAAACAAATATATAAATTTTATTAATAATGCTACGAAAATCGGGATTTTTATACCAAAATATTATATCTATTTATGTATAATACACTTCTGATTTTTTTAATAAGTTTTTTTAGTGAACGATCGTCCATCAAATTTGGACAGCTATTCACTCACATGGACACCCATCCATATTATATGAACGGACGTCCATATACAAGGGAGGGGCGTTCTCATTTAAAGGACACCCGTCCATAAATAAAATATAAAAATAAAAATAAAAAACTTTGGGGGCGGTTGTCCATAAATTTTGGACGGTTGTCCCTTATGTTTGGACCGGCGTCCATTAGGAATACTTTTTTAAAAAAAAAAAAAAGGTTTGGACGGGCGTCCGTCCATACTTTTAAAAAAAAAAAAAAATTCGTCTTCATTCCCTATCTCCTCTCTTTTTCTTCTGTCTTCATATCCATCTTTGAATAGCTCTGAAACAGCTTACTCCATGACGTAAAGTAGCTCTCAACATCTCTTCACTTATACCACTAAGATGGTCCTCAAAGTTTTCATGGGATCGCAATAGAAAAGCCATGACGAATGGATAGGGGCTACCTCTCATGGCCTTTTCAATTTTCCTTCTGGGATTCGTCCTGTGCCTCTGGAAATACATATTCAGGGAGTGGATATATCCAATTTTGATGCAAGGATGCAAGCCATGACGAAACCCATATATACTGCAATTGTCCAACATGCCAAGAATGGAAAACCTATGGTTGTATTTGTCCCTTCAAGAAACCAAGACTGGCTGGAGGACGTCAAAAAGTTGGCTGATGATGTGCAGTATATGTAGAAACCAAAATAATGGACGAGTGGACGCCCGTCCAAACGTTTTTTTTTTTTTTTTTTTAAAGTATGGACGGGCGAATGGATGCCAGCCCAAATGTAAGGGACGACCGCCCATAATTTATGGACGGCCGTCCCCAATTTTTTTTATTTATTTTCATATTTAATTTATAGACGGGTGTCTTTTAAATAGGGACACCCCTCCCTTGTATATGGACACCCGTCCATATAATATGAACGAACGTTCATGTGAGTGAACAGTCGTCTAAATTTGATGGATGACCATTCACTAGAAAAAATTTATTAAAAAAATCAAAACGTGTTACACATAAGTCGGTATAATATTTTGATATAAAAATCTCGGTGTCCGTAACATTATTGAAATTTTATTAACAATTTACATACTCCAAACCCCACAGGCACAGCACGGCTAGCTTTGAGTTTCTGTTCAAACGTACCATTAATTTCTTGGGACCAATAAACACTACGTTGGCTTTATTTATTGTTTTCTTTTGCTTCTGAAAAACAACTCATCTCTGTCCCTTTGCATGCATGGAAAATAGGTATAATATATATACAAACTGACAGAGATACAGTCATATGGGATTTTCAATCTTTTAATCAGATTTTTCAATGCCCTTTTTATGGTCCCAAAACTGCCCTATCCTAGATCCCTTCTCTGCCTTTCTGCTTGTTCTTCTTTTCTTTTCAGTGACTAGTCATCCTTTCAATGACATTTTTCCAAATCAACAGTAATCACAATCTTTTGTTACGTTCAGAAGAAATTGCAGGCTGTCATAACTTTTCCTTTCATTTTTTTTTGCATTCCATAAAGTTTATTTCAAAAACAGAGAACCAACCTCTTTCATTTTTGTGGACAAGGTCAATCAGTTTATTAATTTTTTTTTTAATAAAAATATACTCTTACTTTACGTGCATCGACTATAGTTTCACTTTTCCGCATATCTTAAATCGCATCGTGTATGGGTCAACTTTGCTTTTGAGCTTTATTAGCAGTCAATATATCTTGTTCATGGAGCCCTAAAGTTGGTCAATTTTTTCCTTCCTTTTGCTAACTAAATTATCTTTACACAAAGATTACACATGATTGTATAAAGTGTATAATATAATAATATAGATGAGTACAGACTTTTTTCCACTCAAATAATGATTTAATGATGCTTTCTTATCCACATGTTTTTAGAATATCATTTTATTACTCAAATTTATATTTAGACAATGAACAGAGAGTAAACTCGGTCCAAATTATTAAGACTATTGAAGAGAGGAGGCCGATAAATCTTTTGATAATAAAAGATTGGATTTTGGTGGTTAAAATTGATCAGAATTTAACTTGAGAGGGATAATTATGTAAACTCTAATCACTCAATTGTTGTCAACTAACAGGTCGAGAGTAGGGTTTGAAGGGTTTTAGTGAGTGATGATCGAAGAAGAGAATGGTAATGGTGTGAGGTCACAACTATGTTGAAATTAGAAATAAAATATAAATTTATGTAATAAAATAGTATTTTAAAAACTTATGGGTATGAAAGTATTATTAAGTATTATTTAGGTGGGAAAAAAAGTCGGTGTACTCGTATGTTATTCTATTTTGTTTTGTCCATATTAGAATAACAGATAAATATGTCAGTGGGAGTAATGAAAGACTCAATTATCAACCAAGGTTAAGTAAACATATTTAATATCTTCAAATTGTATGTCTCTCCACTGAAGCGGAGGACGGTTTGTCTTTTTCTTCGCATTAACTCAAACACATATAGATATACTCTTGGCTTATAGTTGGACTTGGTTCCTTTCTCAAAATCTTGGACTTTGGTAAAACTGGTTAATAAAAGATTAATCTTAGGGTGTGTTTGATTTAGTAAATATTGTATTACGAGATAATACATTGTATTATCGGATAATATTATATTACTAAAAAATTAGATTATCAAAAAAATCTTTAAAAAAATGTGTTTAGTTGGTTAGAATAAATTGATGGGTATGTTATAATAATATGTTTGATTAAAAGAATAAATGAGTGAATATGTTATATAAATTATTAAATTGCCCTCATTTTTAAATAATAATATAATATTATTATTTTTTTAAATTATTTCTTTTAACCTCCTATATTTAAAATTTTGCTAAAGCATTTCAGCTATATAAAACTTTAATTTATAGCAAAATCACCCCCACTCACCCCAAGGCACCTTTGGCAGTCAGCCACCACCATCGACAGTCGTCGTAATGGAGCAAAACCAGTCGGATCTGACTGATCGTGCATTGGTAAGGTCTAATCCGGCCACAACTAGATCTAGCTGTGAATATGGCCGTTTCACAACTAAAGATGCGGCCGTGAAACGGTAGCCATTTCACAACCACATCTTTGGCTGTGAAACGGTTAGATCTAGTCGTTTTCGACCATGGATCACAAATTCATGGCTGGAAATGTCTTTATTGGCACACGACCAGAAAGATCCCATCGGTCTTACCCTAGTATGATGACTTTGCTGGCGGCCAGCAGTGGTCTTGGGTGGCGTTTCACAACCACATCTTTGGTTGTGAAACAGCCAGATCTGGTCATTTTCGGCCATGGAGCACAAATCCATGGCTGGAAACGTCCTTACTGGTACACGATTGACAAGATCCTGTCGGTCTTGCCCTAATATGATGACTTTCGCCGATGGCCAGCGGTGGCAGCTAGCGGCTAGCAATGGTCTTGGGTGGCTAGGAGTATTTTGTTAATTTTTAAACTTTTTTGTGGCTGTGGTGTTTTAGCTATATTTTTAAATGTAGGAGGTCTGAGTAATTGTTATTTGGTAGACACATGAGGGCAAATGTGTCTGATATGATAAAAGATTAAGGACAAAATAAGGTCAAAATTAAGATTACCTTGACAATTTTATATTAACACCCATTAGAAAGGTAATCTGATTACTCTCAATATTACTAACAGTAAATACTATTTACAATAAAAGATTACGTAATATTTTATAATTTGACAACCAAACAAGAAATCTAAAAAATTAAACAAAGATTATGGGATTAATCTTATATCACCTCAAACCAAACGCAATCTCATAGATTAGGAAACCTTCCCCAAATCCATTTGCAGGTAAAATAACATTAAACAATTATTAATGAAGAGGGTTTTTTTTTTTTTTTTGCTAAACCTGGGGAGATTTACTCTATATTTGCTTGATTTAGTTAAGCCTTCAATTATTTGTCTACTCTTTAACATTGAGAGATAGCCAGCAACAGTGATCAATTTCTTCCAATTTATTAGTGTACAGAGAATTCTAGATATGCAAAGTTGGTGCAAGAAAATTAGCAGTAGAACATTAGCTTTTTAACATTCTCACTAAGTTTGGGAAGAGGAGTTGCCTTTGGAGGGGCAGCTCGACAGATGGTGGAAGAACTTCCCATGAAGGTTGAAGACTCATATCGCTCAAGGTAAAGTCTGCCTCTATATGCAGCCAGGTGGGCATAATAAGCAGGGGGCACCAAGGAAACAGGTTTGGTGCATCTCACAAATGTGTAGCAGAGATTGTAAACCAACTTCTGTAGTTCATCGGAAGTGAAATGGTTATCGTCCCATAAGATATGGTAATGAGTTGGCCTGCTTGTTCCCTTCACCCCCCAATGACTACAAAGATAGAAATCAAATTCCCTTGGGTGAGTTATCACAGTATCTACAACTGTCCCTGGGGGAATGTTGTCATTGGAAATCTGGTTCTGAGTCGAAGATGGATCGTTATCACATGGAAACAACCTTGTGTGATGTCTCTTTTGTACCACTGCAAATGTAATGGGAGGACTATAACCAGGAAATTTTGAACAAGCTTCTCTAATGGATTGCAATTCCTCTTGAAGCACCTTATAAAATTGAGTTTCGCTTACCCCATCTCTGAAGAAGATTATTCTCTTCGGGAGTTTGTTTTCTTCATGGTAGAAGTCATCTAGCAATTCCGCAACCATTGCTCCAAGATCTTGGATAATTTCTTGTCGATGTGTTTGGGACCTCATCCTTGACACATACTTGTTTGCTGCTGGCCAGTTCATGCTGCCAACCACAGCAGCAACAGATGGACTAACATCATCTAGTGGGTGGGGATGAGTAACATCTGCACCCATAAAGATAACTGGCTCATCAAGCTGAAAAAGGCGAGGTATCTGTGACGGTAATGAGTTGTACAAAGCTACTGTGCATCCACCAACTTTGGCATTGATCTTGAGAGCCAAATTTGCTAGAAACTGTGAACTCAACTTGCTAAGGTTTAAGTACAAGCAACACTGGCTTACCACCCCAACACTTGTTTCAGCTATTCGCTTCAAATCTGCGTATCCTTTGTGCTTTCGCTCCATTATACAAATCAGTAGCTGGAGATTGTTCGAGGCAGATTCATGGATTTTCTTGAGTTTAGATTCCAAGAGAGAGACATTGTTAAGCACTTGGGTTGGTTCAAACTGAGGGCTGCATATTGTGTTTTTGTTAAGAAAGATGCCCAATTGCTCACACCTTTGAGATAGCTGATTTATGAACTTTGGAATGCTGGCCTTCTGATCAGGGGTGCCACCGAAACTTATAAGCGCCCATCTTTCAATTCGGGTTCCTTCAAAGACATGACTGTCAAGAAAATTCCACTGACGATCATGGCGAGAAGGAACAAGATCTCTTATATGCCCACCATCGCCGAGCTTTAGCTTGGGAGGTTGGAGAATTCTCCCGTTTAACCTTGTCATTTCCCTTGAGACATGAAGTTTGAATTCGCTTCCTCTGTTGCCACTGTCAAGAAAACACTCTAAATTCTAAGAAAAAGTTCGAGCAAAATCTAAGACCAATGAGGATCAACTACTAAAGATCGACATACATGATTGAAAATAAAAAAAGAAAATCCTTTCAAGTAGTATTCAAATTACCTTGGACCAAAAGGTCCCCGCATCACTCCATCTATAATGGCTTTTCGTTCTTTTGGTCTTTGGCAACCCATCTTAAGTATTCTTGCTGTTTGATCGTCAGAAAGCTTCCCAAGAAACTTCTGGCCTTCACAAATCATACAGAGCTCCATAGGAAGATAACATGGTTTGCTCCTACTTATTTGCAAACAAGGTAGGTTTCGGAATTGTATATTATAGTTGTAGTGATCCTTGAAGTAACTCAGAAGCCTTATATTCTTCCCATCCCTGTCTGGAAACCAGAGGTTTTCAGTAGCTTCCTCTGTCAATCCATAAACCCGGTATCTCTGAACTGTTTCTCTATGGCAAACAAAGACTCTGATGTTCTTCAGTGCCTTCTCCACTTCTCTCTTTTCTTCACCACTCAAGCACCTTGTCTTCCTTTGATGAAGGTCTTTAAGAAACTCGAGACGCTTCTGCAAGTATGGAATTACTCCAATGCTTTCGTGGAAAGCACTCACAGAAGAATCCACATTGAGTGCTAGTCCTTGTTGTGTTGGTCTAAGGCTCTGAAAGAATCCTCTCAATCCAACAGCTCCTCCTCCAATTTCTTTAGTCCCTTCCATCGAACTCGAATAGAGTGATCTTCCCACGGTTATACACTTCTCACTTGGACTCTCCCTCAAGACAACATCCAAAGCATGGAGATAATCCTGAGGAAGGGGTATCCAATCATCACCTTCTTTGCTCAAGTAGCTATTCAATTCCTTCCCATCAAACTTTGACACAAGTTTGATATTTATTCGAAACAGTTTAAGCTGTTGTTGCTTTTGTTTCAGATCATTGAATTCTCCATATGGCAACCGTGACTTGCTAGAGGGTATTGGGAGGCTTATGAAGAATTCAAGCCTATCATTTTGGAATTCAACAGCACTGTAAAGATTCTTTCTGCCATCATATGCAGGGTAAGCGCCACAGAGCACAGCTGAGTTGTTCTCCACCAGTTTTTGTTTGATCATTCTCGCAACCTCCTTGGATGGATTAGGGGACATTTCGACATTGTAATGGAAAATTCGCTGCGATGGGTCAAACTGGACCAGAAAATGATTGGCAAGGAGAGAGATAACTGGTCCTTCTACGCCACCTGAGTCTGGTCTCTTTGTGGCCACTAGTGCTTGTGTTTTGGCAGCCATCATCCTCCTTCCATCACCTCCTCTGGGGGTTACTTTGCTTCTCCTTTGAACCCACTCAGGCTCTGGAGCTGTTTGCATACGTTGAAACAAATAGTGAGTAACAGAGTTGAACTCCTACAAGTTGATATATGTTGAAATTGTAATTCCAGATAACACTGGTTAAATACCAATACCTAACACTGATTCAAACACATTCCAGAAACTTAAGATTCATGTTTCAGAATAGTCAATACATAAGATTCTCCTTTTTGCTAAAAACTCAAACTTCTCATATTTACATACTAAAGAAAAAACTAAACCAAAGTCATCTAAAGAATCCTTCTTTTGGGATAAGAAATAAACTTTATGGATCACATACAAACTAATGAAATAAGAAGACGGCTGAAGCAGCCTACAAAAAGCAGATAAAGAACTAACCTGCTCACAAAAAAAAAAAAAAAAAAAATCTTCATTAAGTTCATAGAATCCTAAGCTTCTATGTATTTATGACATTTTGTTTCTAGAGAACTTCAAGCTAAAACCATCCATGCATTTAATAGAAACAGGGCATGGGAAGAAGAATGAAAAGAGCAAAAGAAAGAATCAAAGAAAAGATGTGGTTTTGGAACTTCATATATATTTGAGTACCTGGTGAAATTGTAACAACTGGGAGTTGGGTATCAGAGGAGGTAGCAAGAGGAGGATTATTGAGCTTACATGAAGGTTTGTGGAAATGGGTTTTTGATCTAAAGTTATGGTTTTGAGGGAGAGGTGGAGTTAGAGCTAGGTGTAAAGGTATAGGCGAAGGTAAAGGAAGCAGAGCAGGGTAATATCTTGGGTTGTACTGGTTTTGGTTCCAGAATCCAAAATGATTAGAGTATTGAATCAGCTGATGCTGATACTGATGCTTGTGAGGATTGGTTCTGCCTCTGAAACTCCTTGTCTTGGTGGTGCATTTCTTGTTTGCATTGGAGTCGTCTGTTTCTTCCATAACTTGGATTAAGAAAGAAGCAAGAGTGAAGTAGAATCAGAAGTTATGACTTATGAGCATGTGTGTGAGAGAAAGAAAAAGGTTCAAACTTTTCATATCAAAGGGAAGTTTTTTTTTAGCAGAAACTGTATTTATTGCAGAGAGAGAGAGAGAGAGAGAGAGAAAGATGTTATGGGTTTTAGTTGCTGAAGTTCTTTGTGTCTAGTTTCTGATTCTTATTAAGGAGGTATGATGGTATTGGAGGTGAAGTTCAGAGGGAAAAGAAAGTAACTGAGCTTGCCTTAAAAGAAAGTTAAAAAAGGCACATCAACAAAGGGGTAAGTTAAGTTAAGGACTATTTGAAATTTTTTTGCAGTCTTGTGTAAAATAAGCATATGGGTTAAGTTAGGAATACTGATACATACCCTTTATCATCCATTGACTACCTGGCGAAAATATAAGCCTAATCTAGGCTTTTTCTTTGAAGTCAAATGAGGTGGGAAAGGCTTAAATTTCATCAAAAGGAAAGTATATTTTTGCTGATGGTGATTGGACTTTCCTGTGTTAATTGGTCAAATTTTGTTTAAAAAAATTTGATTTTAATAGTATGAATATTTTTAACATCATCGTGTTAATCACCTTCATCATTATCATAGACTAATTTAAGATCAATTAATAAAGTTTATGTTTTGCACATGTTGGATTTATTGGGACACAGTTCTGCAGACCTAATATAATATTTCATAAATATATTGAGGGTGGGAGACATGGAGAAAACCTCAGCAAATCACACAATTATAAGTACAGCTTTAGTGTTTTACTCAATTAGAAAAAGTCCCAACTGCAACATAGATACAGGTTCAACGACAGCCAGAATTTAATATTGAAAAAAACCTTCGAACTACAGAGAACACCTCCATGAATGGTTTGTCTTTGTCTATTCACTCTTTCTGGGTCATCTTTATATAGAGATGCATACTTACTATTCCAGAAACAGCGGCTGATTATGAATGTTAAAACAAAAATTAATTACCACACAAAGTGTGGTTTAGTAATATATTTCATGATCACATTTGATTGATTCCATTGCTACTTCAAAGCCTCCCTTTTGGCCTCAGCTTTTGTGAACATGATTAATGGTAGTGGCGGGGATTGAGAGACGGACCATTGAAGCACTTGGGACGGTAGGTTCCTATATATATATTTTAAGGATAAACATTGTTGGAATGTGATGATGGGACAATATGATTAGTGTGGAGCCTTGGATTTTGAAGATTAGGACCACGTCATTCCCACTATAGTCCACTCTGCCTTTTGTTTATAATTTTTTTTTCAACATATGACAAAAATAGATGAGATTGGTCAGAACTTAATAGTTTCTAACTTAGCTCAGCTTGACACATGGCAAAATCACCTTCATTATTCATCTTAACACTATAGGAACAGCGATAATCATGCCAAATTTCTCAATTAATCCTCACTGAATTGCTGAGACTTGATTCACCAACCAACCAACTATAAAGTTGTGATCATGGCTTTATCTTCTATTGCTTTCCTACTCTGCTTTCTTCGTCATACATTTGAATGAATGAAAAGACTATATTTGCTTCAATTCATCTCCCTCAATGATATTTCTTTTGGCTAAAAAAATCTAGGGTTATTTCTGAACGAAATAGAGAAGCAACAGGAACAAAAATAATAATAGTAAAACAAAACAAACAGTAAACAAAGAAATTATACGCGCGATTTACCCTGGTTCACCCAATGTGGGCTATGTCCAGCTGAGTCAATATTATTAAAATATGTCTCACCTCTCTCGTTTACAATGAATGAATTGCTCTCACCTACATAACAAGAGAAAAGAATGTTTATATACTAGATTTAAGAGATTAAACCTAGTTTTACAAGAATTCCTATTCCTAAGTCCAACCCAAAAATTTCTGTGTTTTGCTGCCAGCCTTGGAATCTTTTGTGGTAGAACATTAACCAGCTAGGTCTCAAAGGATGGAACTTTGACTAATGACTAGCAAGGCTAGGCCATTACAGAAGATGGAGAAAATATAAAACAAGAGAGAAGGACAAATAATATATGAGATGTCAAATGGGATAGGACGTCCGAACTGGTCTTCTATGTATGTACTTGGGATGGAAAACTACAAGTCAAGATACGAGTATTAATGAAGCTTCATTATCTGCCAATCTCCTCATATTAGGGCTCCTGGTTGGCAATTAAATCTCACTGAGATCAGTCTTCAGTTGCGCACCTCGTTGAAGGCATAAAGAATCTATTGCTTTGCTTGCTGCATTTATTTCGAGCACTTTATGAACTTATTACATTACCAAACGATAACACAATAATATTGTATTATATATATATATATATGTACTGGACTGGACTGGTTCGAAATTTGAATGTTAATTAATAAATGAAAAAATAATATGTTGAGCCTGAAATTCAGGCAATTAAGTTGCATGTTACGAGGCCTATAGAGAAACTTAAGTTGCCTCCAGTCCTGGGAAACGATGAGCACAGGAATAAAAAGTGTAGCAAATGGGCGTAAACAAGGAGCAATAGGCAATAGGCAATAGCCCGGCTTATCCAAGCAAGGAATCCCAAGCCCTGATGAACTGTTTTCAAGTGCGCCCCATGCAGCTTAATAGCCCCGGCGGCTGCACCACGTTATGCTCGAAATAAAAAGTGTCCAAATTTCTGGAGGCAATAAATTATCATCCCCAGATTGATTTGGGACGAGAGACAAGCTTTGATATCCTTGGCCCCGAATAAACCTTCAAATTAAATTAAAAAAGGTTAATAAAATATTAATCAATAAAGTATTGATTGAATAATCAGATATTAAAAAGGGTCAACGGCTTAATGAAAGGCATGATTTAGGTTGATTTGAGATTTCGGCTTTGTTGCTATATCATGTCGTCTTAATGTTGGATTATTGACCCATTAAATACCATACCCACATCTTATTAATCATTCATTTCTTTATTGACCCAGTCGTAATCAATTAATTAATTAAGCATGTTGCTATATTTCTAACTCCTCATGCAGACTAATCAACGTATGTTTTATGACATGGTATTCGAGATAAAGAATAAAAGAAACAAAAAAAAAGCTACACTATATCTAATTCTTTTTTTTTTTGGTAAGTAAATAGTATCATTAAAAGAGAGAAAGAAAATACAGAGAGGTCATAAAAAAACCGATCATCCTACTTTAGGACAGATCCTAGGATGAGAACAAAAATACAAGTCTAATAGACTGAAAACCTAATCTCTTCTTGTTTGTCTATCTTAAGCACGCGAAAAATTGGAGACAAAGACATCCTACCACAAAATATACCCTGTGATAGGATCCACAAAAAGAAATCTAACCAAGACTAAGAACAATTATACACAACATCATTCCTACCTCGAGACAAACATTTGATTAGGAAAACTCATGTTCGTCACATTTGGTAGGCCAAGCCTTGCATATAAGAATTTCAAACTTTATAAAGAGAGAATTCGATAAAGATAAAGAGAAATATAAAAGTTTCCATGGAATAATTCTAGCTCATGTAATGAATCAAAATTTGACACATATAAAGCACTTTACAATACAAATACCCAAAAAATAAAAACTCAACCGTTTAAGTGGGTTAAGATTGTTGTCAAGTTGTGAATTGTGATGCCTTTCAGCATCGATAAGATGTGATATAAAATCTCTGATTAATTGAATCTTCATTGAAAATGAAAAACTCATCTTGGATTTTGCTTGTAAAAGGAATTTCAGCTGAAAGATGACCACTTTTTTAATGGGAGGTGAGGTGACTGGCTGCGGCAAAGCATGACTTACAAAATTCAATAGTGGAGTGCTGATGATGATGAGAAAATCTCAAGTATTTCCTTAATTTACGTAACTATGACCCATCAAGGCTAAAAGTAATATATATTTATATTAAATATCTACTGAGAAAGGAGAATTAATACGTGAATTATGAGAGGTGTGAAAATAATTAAGAGTTAATGACTTAATCAAAATCATTCTCATCAAATATATAATATTTCTTCTTTTGCCTCTGGTACCAAATTAAACCCGACTAATGGAAAGACACCAGGAATTATAGCTCTTATGATAATATTTTTTTGTTTTTCAAAATAATGATGGATAGAATATAGCTGTCTTGACTCTTGATAAATAAACAAATTAATATCCCTATTGGAGAAAAAAGAATAAAAACAAAGCGTGCTTAAACAGTAGTTTCTCTCTATCTTAAAGATAAAAGTTGACTTAATAAAGAGAAAAAAAAAAAAAAAAAAAGTTTAATCTCATCCTCTACAAAAATGATTCGGGCAAATGGGTTTTCAACAATCTACACCAGAAACATGAACGTTGGATTACATATATGATTATGAAAATCAAGAAGATCCTACAATATTTTAAAAAGATCTTGAATATATGACTTCATATCTTCATTATTGAACTTACTATAATGATGTTTTACATCGACAATATTGATGATTGTTATTATTATGTCCTGATGGATTTGATCATTAATCTGAATTGACTAGCCACTATGACCATATTGCTGCACTTGAAATGTCGATAGCTTAGTTTAAGGAAATGTCCGTAACTCGGAAATGAATCTGATAAAAAAAATGGACCCAAGTGAGAAATTGGACGTCATAAGTCATAACAAAAAACCATTATTTAGTCTCCATTAATGGTGCTGTTGATCACGAAGCTCGTGCAGTTGGTTGATATTTGTCAACCTGGTCCTATTTATTATATTTCTTAGCTTCTTTATTCAGTCTGATCAGATTGTCTCACCAATCAAAGGTCTCCGGCAGCCGCTGCATGACTCATATATATTAATGTCTTTCACAAACTTGAAATTTGAGATACGTTTCGTACAAGAGATTCACAAATCACACTTATCATTATATAGAAGAATCAAGATTGTTAAAAACATTTTCTTCGCTCCATTACAGAATTTAGGTTAAAAGTTTGGTTACATATGGTCTTTTTCTTGGTTGGAACATTTTATTTATATGATCTAGTATACCATTGATGATGATCAAGAGAAAACAAAAAAGTTCCAGAACACTATCACCATTATGAGATAAACAAAAAATTGTAGAGAAATATAGATGCAGTAGCAATCCTGGAAAGAACTTGGAACTCGCTGAAAGAATTACCATGCTTTAGCTTGAATCTAAAAAACTAAATTCAGGAACAAAGCTAATTAATTATATGAGATTAAACTTCATCCTCCATCAAGTTGTTCTTCGGTAGTC